TTACGCGGGACACCCTATATATATATATATATATATATATATATATATATATATATATATATATATATATAAAATTGTACAAGTAAATACGCGGGAGAGGGACTCCACCTCTCACCTCCTTTCCAAAAAAACGAACTCAAACTTAACCTATCTATTGAAATATGCTAAATTATATACATATATGAGTAACCTATTCTTTATATATTCATACATAATTTATCAGTAGAAAACAACATGAAAATATACGGTTTACTATATTTCAATAGATAGGTTAGAGTTAGTTTTTTTGAGGAAGGCGTGCCGAGGGAGGACCGCAGCCGGTCTCCCTCCTACACATATACACATACACACACACTGCTTGCTGGCGAGCAGTGTGTGTGTATATAGCAGCACATTCCTGGCGTACAAATTCGATGTTTTTCTATACACGGTGTCCAAAAATTACATTTATTTTATGCAACTTCTTTTGTTAATAACTTTTTAACGATCAACGAGCGACGGCTAAAAGCTTTTTATTGTGACTCAGGAAAATCAGTTCTATAATATATATCAATATCAATATCAAGACTGTTGGAATATAATATATATCAATATCAAGACTGTTGGAAATTGATCTCCTATTCCGCATTTTTACTAATATTTTCTATGAATTTTTATTAATAGTTTCCATAAAATTATTTGACATACTTTTCCAAATCTCTAATTTATTTAATTAGTTTTCAATCAGAAAAATCCCTAGAATTGTGACCAACAAAAATCGACAAGAACTTTTCTGAGTACCTAATATTTGAAGTATTTCTAAGTAAAAACAAAATTTAAACGATTAATATTTGAATTAATGTTTATGTATATCAGTTTAATTATTTAACGATCATAAAAGTTACATATATTAGACGTATAAGTGTGTAAATATTTGTAAGGTAAATATACATTAGTGACAAAATTTCTTCTCTTCCAAAAAATAGAAAAAATAAAAAGCATATATAAATATAAATATGTATATATATATATATATATATATATATATATATATATATATATATATATATATAT